TGTCCCCACCCAAATCTCATTTGAATTATAGTTCCCATAATCCCCACATGTGATGGTTAATACTGAGTGTCAACTTGATTGGATTGAAGGATGCAAAGTTTTGATCCTGGGTTTATCTGTGAGGGTGTTGCCAAGGGAGATTAACATTTGAGTCAGTGGGCTGGGAAAGGCAGATCCATCCTTAATCTGGGTAGGCACCCTCTAATCAGCTGCCTGTGTGCCTAGAATATAAAGCAGGCAGAAAAATGTGAAAAGACTAGACTGGCCTAGCCTCTCAGCCTACATTTTTCTCCCTTTGATATACAGATATAGATACATAGATAGATAGATAGATAGATAGATAGATAGATAGATAGATAGATAGATAGATAGATAGATAGATAGATAGACAGATAGAGAGATAGATAGATAGACAGACAGACAGATAGATATAGAGAGACATATCCTACTAGTTCTGTTCCTCTAAAGAACCCTGACTAATACACCATATGTCATGGAAGAGACATGGTGGTAACTGAATCATGGGGGCAGTTATCCCCATGCTGCTTTCATGATACTGAGTTATCATGAGATATGATGGTTTTATAAGGGACTTTTCCCCCTTTGCTCAGCACTTCTCTTGCCTGCTACCACGTGATGAAGGATGTGTTTGCTTCCCCTTCCACCATGATTGTAAGTTTCCTGAGGTCTCCCCAGCCATGCTGAACTGTGAGTCAACTAAACCTCTTTCCTTTATAAATAACCCAGTCTCAAGTATGTCTTTATTAGCGCATGACAAACTAATACAGGGAGGTTCCATTAGATTAGGGAGTTATATATTTACTGGGTTTTGGCAGAACAATTTAAGTTAGGTAGTTGGGCAAAGATGCCAGATTATGGTGGCTTCCCTGGTTGACAGAAGAGAAAAAAATATAGAGACTTAAAGCACAGGCAAAATTTTCAGGAAGCTTAGGGTGGAGGGAAAGAAAGAAAACTACAGCGTGGTAAATAAAAGAAGGCATAGACCAAAAGAGTTGTTTGTTTTAAAAGGAACTCATATACATGTTTAAATCATGACAGAAAGCAGTGATCTTTCTACAGGGTTAAAACATAACGTCTTTGGGAGAAACAGAGTAATATAACTGCAGTTAACTGTCTTAAGAACAAACAGAAAACAAATTTTTCCATAAGTGGAAAGATATAGTTGAATATACCCCACAGAGACACATGAAAACTTAAGAGAACAAACATTGAAGCCATCATTTTGGACTATATCATAAAACTAATTTGTACTTGTTTCCCATAATCAATCTAATAAAACCAATCATATTAGAATAATTATTTTCACTGGATCCATATAATGTGCTAGATTTATATACATTGAAGACAGCTTACTTTCTCTAAGGTACTCCCATTGTAGTGGGAAATCTAGGCACATAAATGACTAATGATGAAACTACAGGCATACCTTATTCTATTGCATGTCACTTATTGTACTTTGCAGGTAATATGTTTTTTTGCATATTTAAGATGTGTGGCAACGTTACGTCAAACAAGTTTACTGGTGTCATTTTTCTAACAGCATGTGTTCACTTTGTGTCTCTGCATCACATTTTGGTAATTCTCACAATATTACAAACTTTTCATAATTATTCTGTTATGATGACCTGTGATTAGTAAACTTTGATGTTACTATTGTAATTATTTTGGGGCACCATGAACCATACCCAGATAAGACAACAAACTTAACGGATAAATGTTGTTCTTATTGTTCCACCAACTGGTCATTCACCTATCTTTCTCTTTCTCCTGGGGCCTCCTTATTACCTGAGACACAACAATATCAAGATTATGGCAATTAGTAACCTTACAAAACCACTAAGGGTTCAAATAAAAGGAAAAGTTGAGTGTATCTCACTGTACATCAAAAGCTAAAAGTGACTAAGCTTGGTGAGGACAGCATGTCAAAAGCTAAGACAGGCCAAAAGCTGGGCCTCTTTTGCCAATTAGCCAAGTTGTGCATGCAAAGAAAAAGTTCTTTAAGGATATTAAAAGTGTTACCCCAGGAAACACATGAATGATAACAAAATGAAACAACCTTATTGCTGATATGAAGAAAGTTTGAGTGATTTGAACAGAAAATCAAACCAATCACAGCATTCCCGTAAGCCAAACTCTAACCCACAGAAGGCTCTAACTCTATTTAACTTTAATAAGGCTGAGAGAAATGAGGGAGCTACAGAAGGAAAGTTTGAAGTTAACAGGTTGGTTCATGGGATTCAAGGAAAGAAGCTGTCTGAATAACATGGAAGTACAAGGTGAAGTAGCAAGTGCTGATGTAGAAGTTGCAAGTTATCCAGAAGGTCTAGCTAAGATAATCGATGAAGTTAGCTACATTAAAGAGATTTTTCTTTTTCTCTTTTTCTTTTTTTTTTTTTTTTTTTTTTTTTTACTCTGTTGCCCAGGCTGGAGTGCAGTGGCTCAATCTAGACTCACTGCAACCTCCACCTCCCAGGTTCAAGTGATTCTCCTGCCTCAGCCTCCCATGTAGCTGGGATTACAGACACGTGCCACCACGTCCAGTTAATTTTTGTATTTTTAGTAGACATGGAGTTTCAAGATGTTGGCCACGCTGCTCTCGAACTCCTGACCTCAGGAGATCTCCCCACCTCGGCCTCCCAAAGTGCTGGGATTACAGGCATGAACCATGACACCCAGCCAAGAAATTTTCAATGCAAACAAAACAGCCTTATATTGGAAGAAGATATCATCTAGGACTTTCATAGCTCGAAAGGAGAAGTCAATACGTGGATCCAAAGCATCAAAAGATAGGCTAACTCTCTTCTTAAGAGCTAATGCAGATGGTGACTTTAAGCAGAAGCCAATGCTCATTTACCATTCCAAAAATCCTGGAGCACTGGAAAATCTACTCTGCCTATGCTATATAAATGGAAAAATAAAGTAAATGACAGTACATATGTGACTGCATGGGTTTACCGCATATTTTAAGCCTGCCATTGAAAATTACTGCTCAGTAAAAAGATTCCTTTCAAAATACTACTGCTCATTGACAATGCAACAGGTCACCCAAGAGCTCTGATGGAGATGTTTAAGGAGATTAGTATTGTTTTTGTGCCTGCTAAGATAACACCCATTCTGTAGCCCATAAATCAAGGAGTAAGTTTGACTTTCAAATATTTAAGAAATATATTTTGTAAGGCTATAGTTGCCATAAATAGTGATTCCTCTGACAGATCTGGGCAAAGTAAATTGAAAACCTTCTGGAAAGGATTCACCATTAAGATGCCACATCTGTGATTCATGAAAAGAGGTCAAAATATCAACATTAAAAGAAGTTTGGAAGAAGCTGATTCTAACCCTAATGGATGACTTAAAGAAGTTCAGTACTTCAGTAGAACAAGTAACTGCAGACGTGGTGGAAATAGCAGGAAAACTAGAATTAAAAGTGGAGCCTGAAGATGTGACTGAATCACTGCAATCTTAAGATCAAAATCAAACAGATGAGTTGAGTTGTTTCTTATGGATGAGCAAAGATGGAATCCACTCCTGTAGAACATGCTGTGAACATTGTTGAAATAACAACAAAGGACTTAAAATATTGCATAAACTTAGTTGATAAAGCAGTGAGTGGGATGAGAGGATTGGCTTCAATTCTAAAAGAAGTTCTACGATGGGTAAAATGCTATCAAAAAGCATCAAGTACTTCGGAGAAATTTTTCATGAAAGGAGTCAATTGATGCAGTGAACTTCACTGTTCTCTTATTTTCAGAAATTGCCAGAGGCACCCCAGCCCATAACAACCAACACACTGATCAGTCAGCTGCCATCGACAGTGAGGTAAGATTCTCCACTAGCAAAACAGATTACAACTCACTGAAGGCTCAGATGTTCATTAGCATTTTTAGCGAAAAAGTACTTTTAATTAAGCAATAAACATTTTTTAGACATATTTCTACTGCACACTTTAGACTAAAGTAGAGTGTAGACATAACTTTTACATGGGAAAACAAAAAATTTGTGTGACTTCCTTTATTGCAATATTCATGTTATTGCTGTGGTATGGAAATGAACCTGCAATAATTCTGAGGTCTACCTGTACTCAACAGGTAGACTTGTATGTTGGAGTGCCAACATACAAGTAAGCACAAAATACAATTGAAAAACTTCAAGAAAAAGAAGATAAGAGAATCTAAGTTAATGTTAAATGACAGAAGTACCCATCTTTGTATTTCACATCATATAAGCTATTAAAAGTTTCCCAAAGTAGATGAAATTTTTAAAACTCTAAGTGTTTAGGGTTAACAGGTTTAAACGTATTCGAAAGGGCAAAACTATGTTTATAAAAACAATATCACATAGGATGAAGTGACCAGAAAATGAAAAAGAGTGACCAATAATAAATTTCAATATCAAGTAAGTCTTTACTAACCCTTATATGCATATACACATATATTTCTGGGTTAATCCATAAATGTACCCAAAGATAAGGACCTAAATATCCCTTAATGATTAAAACAAGTTACTTAACTGTGAATATTAGTACAACCTAGGTCTCAGATTAAATAAATTTGTATATACTGCCCTCATGGGGCAATAATATGTAGTTCATTAAAACATAAGCAGGAAATGTAGTGGACTCCGTGGAGACAATTTATTCCTACTAATCCTAGCCAATGAAGGAGCATCACTGGTTTGACTAATAATGTAATGAGTCATCTAAAAATCACTCAAAAGTATACTTCTATCTATGCCAAGTCTCCTTCCTGGTTGGAGTTAGCCTCGAATTCTGATAGGTGTTGGGAATGTTAGGTGACCTGGATCAAAGATTCCATGCACAGAAAATTCAAAAGTTGATATAATTCATGCATGATTAATCAAATCAGCCCTTAAATGCCATTACATAATGCTTCTTTTTTCTCTTTTTGGTCAAATTGCATTTTTACTACCAATCTCAAACAGTAGCATTTATAACAGAGAAAGATTTAAAGAAAATGACTTACAATAACACATGTTGGGACTTCACGAAGAGAATATTCTGTTTTATTAGGAAGATCTTGATTCCTTATCAGCTCATAAATAGCAGGATAGGATAACAAGTTCACCAGTGCTAAAAAAGACTAGAGGGAAAGAAAACAATCACTTAAATGATTCTTTTTTGTCAACCACATCCATGGAGAGTTATTAATGAAGTTTCGTATCTGTATGACTTTGAGGGCTAATTTTTAAATATACCTAATTCCCATAAGTTTGAAATATGTTACATATATGATAAGTACAAAACAGTTAACATGCACAGCAATAATCTATAAGCTGACAACGCATGACGTAACAACCATTACATACATACATGAAATTTGGAATATGCTTTAAAATATCATGTATCTCTTAAAAGTTTGGTTCTGACAAAAATTCAATAATCCATCTTTCTCATTCTTTGCACTGTCATATCCAATACGTAAAAAAATGCAAGAGAATAATACTTAGGGACTCTGGGGCAAGATAATAAATTCTATATATTTTTGCCCTCAGACCATGAGGCTATCTTTTAACTACATTCACTGAAAATCCAACTAACCTAAATATGATAGCTAATTTTTAAAAGCCATGGCTTTTCCTATCAAAGCTAACTCACTTGCTGGTGCAATTTTACCAATCTCTCCATGAAATATTTAAGCTCTTCACTCTCATTGCATCTTATTAAAGACAACTAGAATATTTTTCTCAGGCACATTCATTCTTGGGCTCCCCAGCTCAAAAGCATGCTGTGGTTGCCCATCACTAAGCATTAAATCTAAACTCCTTAGCATGGCTTTCAAGGCACTTCTCAAATTGACACGCTTCTACTCTTCATAGTCTCAAAAGCCTCATTTCCTAGTATTCCTCAGCATGAAGTCGCCACTTCAGTCAATCAAATATGCCTGTGGTCTCCTTCAACTGACTGCCACCTATACGTACTTTTTTATCCAGTAACACACTTCTCCTGCCCTCCACTTACTCATTAGCCCACTTGATATGCTTTCAAAATATGTCACGTCTTTTCTGAAGACTTTCCAATTAACTCCATCCACATCCAGAAGCCCTATATTCTGCCAATATTTATATCTTTTGCTTGCATTATATTAATTGTACTCACTTATAACTGTAAAGTTTTCTGCTTTACATTTTCACTATAGTATGCACTATAGAAAAGGAAGAAAAAAATTGCCAAGGAAAGAATGTTTGAGAAATATGTCTATTAATTATACATAAAATGAACTGCAGAAAAATTGGAGGGTTCACCTAGGAAACTATTGTATGAACTTCTCTAATCACCATGTATTAACTAGAAAGATGATTAATAAAACAGATTTCATTACAGATTTATTTTTAATCCAATCTAGTTTATCCTGAGAATATACATGAACCAAAAAATACAAGGTAATAATGCTTTGTAATTTAAATCTGCAAACATGTTTTAATGTCCTTAATATTAATCCAGCAATATTTGGATTCTATCAAGAATAAATCCTTTATTTTATGTTTACAGAATCTTTTCTACCATAATCATAAAAGATTACAAAAAAGCCTTTAAAAATGTCTATTTGGGTAGAGAAAGAAATATAATCTTTATAAATCACATATAGCAATAGTATATTGAGCATTTTTATATTATTTATGCATGAAGAATTCAGTTCACGATTATGGAACCTCTCTTTACGTAAGAAATAAAATGATGTGGACCACATACAATCAAATACAGGTAAGGTGTGACATGCTACTCTAAGCAAATCAAGTAAAACTTTAGGTAAAAATAATTCAACAACTGTATTCAAACTAAAACAACCTGAACAGAATTTTAAAGAAGGTTGAGAAGATTTCAGCAGCTTGTTTCTAGAAGAAATACATTCATTTCTCACACATTGGGCATTTTAAAAGATGTTAGCTTACTGCAAAATTGTGATGTATTAAGCATTTCTGGAATAAAAATATATACAATGTAATTGTTGGCTCCCACAAACACACATTGTAAGATGTCGCTAATATCAGACATCAAATATCTTAAAATTTATAGTAGCACAAAACATAAATCTATGTCATCAATGTTTTGAAGAATGAGACTTTATGCAATAGTGATAAGGAAACTAATGAAAAGTCAAAGTTTGATATATTTTTAAGATTAAAGTATAAAATTAATTCTCCAAGTCAAGAAGTTTTCTTTTAAATTAAAATCTTTCAGGTTGATATTGATCTTCTATTCACTTATTTATTCACTAAAAATATTTTAGTGCCAGCTGCTTATCAGTAATTGTGCCAAATGCTAACAATAAAAATATGAATAAAGGCATGGTCCCTGCCCTCAAGGACTCATAGTGTAGTGCAGGACAAAATACACTATTAAATAACTTAAAATAGTGCCTAAATGTTCTGACGTTAGTACAATATGGAGAGCAATGGGGTGATACAAGGATGACACTCTTCAGCAATGTAGAGAGAGGTGAGAGGTAAGTCTGTATAAGTAGCAGGCAGGCAGGCCGGCAGGCAGAGATGTGCTGTTAATGAGCTCTATCTCTATCCTACAGCGAAAAAAAAAAGGGGGCAAAGTATTTTCAGAAAAGTAGTGGGGATTAAATTTTACATTTTAAATAGAAGGTTCTAAAGAAAAAATGGTTTTGAGGGTAGACAATATAAGGGAATAAAGAAACAAATTAGAATTTGGAAGTTGTAAGACTGTCAGAAATACATTACACCTATTAGAACACAGATGTATTGAAAACATGTCCAATAGACAGAATGATCAAATAGTTACTCAAAAGGTTAGTGTTCAGGGAATACATGCCTTAGGAGTAAAGGAAAAGTCAGTGAACACTATGTGTATGAAGTATTCTATTCTTTAAAGTAGTATGGACAAGAAGGGGAGAGGGAAGACTGAATAGTGATAAAAAATTTTTATCACTCTTAATAATCATTTCCAAAAATCACATTTGGATTTGTTACTTCTCTTTAGTTTTTTCTGTTTCACTGATTTCTGCTCTAATGTTTATTATTTCCCTTGTTGTATTGGTTTTGGTGTAATTTGCTCTTCTTTTTCTACTCCCTTTGAGTGGAAACTTGAGTCAATGATTTTAGATCTTTCTTATTTTCTAATATAAATATTACAGTTAAACATATCCCTCTTAGGACTGCTTCAACTATAACCACAAATTCTGATGTATTTTTATTTGCATCCAATTTGAAATACTTCCTAATTTCCCTTGTGACTTCTTTGAGCTACAAGTTATTTGTAAGTACGTGGCTTAATTTCCAAATATCTTTTTTTCTAGTTTCTAATTCTTGATTTTTAATTAATTTCATTGTGGTTATAGAATATACTTCATATTATTCCAATTATCTTAAATTTATTTAGACTTGCATTTAGCCCAACATGGTCTATCTTTGAGGACATGCCATGTGTTCCTGAAAAGAATGCATATTCTGCAGTCGTCAAGTATAATATTGTATAAATATCAAGTGGTTAATAGTGGTATTCATATCACGTAATTCGAGAGCTCTTGATCTGTTCTATCAATTGCTAAGAGAAATGTTAAAATCTTCAACTCTGATCGCAGATTTGCCTATTTCTTCCTTAAATTCTATTTTAATACTACATATATTTTAAATATTTTATTAGGATCATACTGATTTATGATTATATCTTTCTGGTGTTTTGACCATATTCATATTATCATTATAAAATGTGTCTCTTAATCTGATAGTTTTTCTTTTTCTTTATCTCTGACACTAAATGTGGCCATGTCAGTTTTCTAATGTATATTGCTTCTCTCTATATATTTTTCCATCCAACTTATCTTTATCTTTAAAGTGAATTTCTTCTATAACTCTGCCACCTGCCCCAGAGAGCCTTCTCTGTGCCTACAATTATCTCCCCTGCCATCCCTCCATAACACCCAGTATCCTGACCTTTACAATAATCACTTTCAAAGATTTTCTTGTGGTTTTACTTCTCAGGTGTACATATCCAGACACTATAATTTTGTCTTTCCAATTTTCAAGACTTGACGTGTCATTTAAAACTTCTTTTAATCTACAGGCATTCATCTTCTCCCTCTCCTTTCTTTTCATTTCGTCTGTTGACAAGCTCAGGCCATTTGACCTGTAAAGTTTTAACCAGTCTGGATTTTAGGAAGTGCACAGTCAGGCAGCAGTTCAGCCTGTTCTTCCATCCTTTGGATATATGCAGTTTCCATATTCTGCAAACTTGCAGCTGAATCCAAAGGCTTATCAAGTTAGATACCTTGGTAAGACTAGAGATGGTGGTTTATTCTTTCATTAGAGGGCACATTAATAATGTTTAACCATTTCTGTTTTAGTTATGTTAACGTGGCTCAATTAATTCTTGCAGACTGCAAATGGTGACATTCTAATTCCATCATTTAAAAAAATATATTAGTTGGGATAATTCATGAAAAAGAGGCACTACCTTCACTTACTATTTGGTTACCCAGTGGTGGAGTTCTGATATAGTTTGGCTGTTTGTCCCCACCCAAATCTCACCTCAAATTGTAATCCCTACATGCCAAAGAAAGGACCTGGTGGGAGCTGACTGGATCATGGGTGCAGTTCCCCCATGCTGTTCCCATGATAGTGAGTTCTTCCGAGATCTCATGGTTTAAATGTGTTTGGCAGTTCCCCTTCACTCACTGTCTCTCCAGCAGCCATGTAAGATGTGTGCCTTGCTTCCCCTTCGCCTTCCTCCCTGAATGTAAGTTTCCTGAGGCCTCCCCAGACAAGTGGAACTATGAGTCAATTAAACCTCTTTTCTTTATAAATTACCCAGTCTCAGGTAGTTCTTCATAGTAGTGTGAAAATGGGCTAAAACAAGTTCATACAGGAATGGCATAATAAATGCTGTTATTTTAGTAAACAAGTTTCAAAATAATGAATTGATTCTCGATCATCCTCTGAGCATAACCAATTATAAAAAATATTATTTAATAGTTTTGCTTTCATATCCACACTATGCATCATGACTAATTAAACATACCAACGCTGATAATACTTTCTACCATTTATTGAGTGCCTACTATATGCCAAACATTCTGCCATATACTTTTATAAATTATCACAGTTTGACATGCTA